ACAGTCCAAAAATTTGCCAGCCCCGGCGAGCGGCGGGGGCCAGGCGGCCGCAGGCAGCGCGCAGCATGCACTGGGGGGTTGGCTTTGCCTCGTCCAGGTCGTGCGTGGTTGAGCTGAGCCGGAATCAGAGCCTCCCGCTCGGCTGGGCTGCGGGGTCGGAGGAGCGCTTCTCCTTCTATGGGGACATCGTCGCGTTCCCTTGGCAGGATTGCGGCGGGATCATGGCAGGGCTGGGCTCTGATTCGTGGTGGAAGAAAACCCTTTATTTGACCGGGGGAGCCCTGCTCGCTGCCGCGGCGTATCTGCTCCATGAGCTCCTGGCAATTAGGTGAGAGGCCGGGAGAGAGACCCCGGGGCCGGCTGCGGTAGGGAGGATTTGGAATGGGACTGGAAAATACTAACACACCGGGGCTGGCCTGGTGGGGATGCTTTGTGCTCCAGCTTCGCCCCTCCACACCGCAGCAACAAGCCAGGCAGGAATCACGAGTCTGTTGTGATGGGTTTTGTTTAACAGGCATTGCAGAGCCTCACACCTGTCAGGATTAATGTCACTGGTAGGAGAGCCATAATTCTTAAAACCCAAGCATGATAGGGACTCAGGGGATAACTCATGGGGCTCTTGTCAGAGATGGGTTTAGTCTTATTTGTAAACATCTGGCCTGTGTCTTAAGGACAGGGACTCAAAGAGTTAACCCAAAGGGCTTTAAAACAAGAACTACCTTCATCACGGGCCCACCTTACTCTTAGCTGTTGCCATTTTAGCTGTTTTGCAAAAAGCATTTTTAATAAATCTTCATGCATTCATTAAACCATCTCCCCCCCCATAAGACAAGTATGCCCAATAAATCACAGCACCAAATGAAGCACACCCCTCAGGGATTTGGGGGGCTGTTCCAAAATCAGATATGAAAATGCATATTTGAAGTGATTCAGCATCACCCTGTTTTGCAAGATCTCTTGAAAAATAAGAGGATGTGCAATTGTGTTCAATGTAGTATTGTGTCTTGTTCTGGTAGCTTCATAATGGTGTGAGCAATATGAGAGCATGGGAGCAGGAGTAATCACGGGTGTGTTTGACATCCAGATCTGAAGTAAGCAGTTGCATATGATGCTGCAGTTTGTTTACAAGGGTAGTAAATCATTGGAAAATGGTGGCTTAACTACTGATTTCCCAAGGATGTACCTTGAAATACATGTGATACCCACAGCAGAGGTGCTATATAGCTAGTATGTTGTTTTAAAAAAATCAGTGAGAACAATCTCAAGGATTTTTTAAATACACGTATGACATAGAAGTATGATGGAGATTAACGTTGCAAAAATGGAATGGAAATGAACTTCCGACCACTGTGGGCCCCGGTCTGCACTTCTTGAGTGAAGTCTCTCATTGATTTCCATGAGATCTGCATAATTGGGCCCTAGATGTTTACTATGAGATTCATTGCACAACACTGCTGTTTGTGCAATATAAACAATAGCAAAATACAGAAGGTATTTCTGGATACACCATTTACAGAGAAATAAAGGATCAAAGTGGCCCTGTACAAATGGGCTGGCATGAACAATATAATATAAGATAAACAAAGATAACAGTTGCCATTGATTACAATTTTATAACTCTAGCACTGAAAAGGCACATCTACACAGCAGCATTATTACAGAATAACAAAGAGCACATCTACACTACAAGTCTTTATTTTGAAATACTGTAAAGCTGGAGGCCTTTTTGCTCCGACTCCTGTAACCCTCATTTCACGAGGAGTAAGGCAAGTCAAAGGAAGTGTTCTCCCTTCGACTTCCTACAATAAATACAGCGCTTAAAGCTGAGTTAAGCTATTTCAACTTCAGCTATGCAATTGACAAAGCAGAAGTTGTCACTTAATTCGACTTTAGCCCTGCTGTGTAGACGCGCCCAAAGAAATACTTTCCTTGTGTATTTTATGCACTTATTTTTCATTCTAAGCTGATAATTGTATGAACATAATTCTTGGAAAATACTTGAATTCAGGGATGCTTTTATAATTTAAATTTAATAGATTATCTTGCCTCTATCTTGAGGAGAGATTTACAGAATGAAATTACTTTATGCAGCCACATTTTAAAAGATACTAAATTTCTAGAGAAATGTGTAGATGTGATGTATAGTTTCAGTACTTCTGTGCCATCTACATGGGCTACTAGCAATGTTAAATGAGTGTTTGAATGTTTCAATAGGTACTGTACATAAAGGGATGCTATACATGTATTAAATGATCTAAAAGAAGACATTTTTAAAATGTGTCAAGTTTGGCAGTCAAATTGCAGTTGCTGGTGGCCAAATCTTAAAAGTAAAGCAAACTAATGCTAATACAGGCCAATCAACATCATCTCTGTCAGTTCAGAGCTCATTTTTGAGAAGTTAACAAAACTTCTATCTGTAATATGCAGTGCAACTATATTCTGTACAGCATCTTTCATGGACAATTTATACCAAATGCTTCATAGACTGAAACTATTCGACACAGTGTATTTTATCAAGATAGTGTGTGACGATTCAGTTAAGGCCTGGTTTCATAAAGGGGGTCATTTCCAAAGTCATAAAAAGCTGGTAGGCACCTCATTCCTGTTGACGTATGTGCCTATGGAAATTTCCATTGAAGTCGATAACCAAAGACAATTACTGTATGAAAAATTTAGAAGCTTGGGCAAAGAAGAACAGATATGTTTTGAGATAAGATATTTACAGGGATGAAGAGTGGATGATCTTGATGGATACTAAACAGTGTTTGAGATGGCAGGAGCATCAGAGCAGAAGGCTCTTACACAACCAGTTGCAAATTTGTGTGAAGGCACAAATAAGAAACCAGTGCTAGACAAATGCCAGAGGTGTAGGAGCATGTGTACAGCTACACTGACTTTGATGGATCTCATGGAGCTTCGGTTAAATTCTGCTATCTGTTACACTAGTGTAAATCCTTCGGAATTGTCTTGATTTATCACAGTGTAACTAAGAGCAGAAATTTGTTCCCAAGTCCAGGAGGTAGATTGGAGCAATTCCATGGTGGGCTTTGAAAACCATGAATGGGACATTTTGAACTGGATCCTGAAATGAATGAAGAGCAGTGGCGTTGTTTGACAAAGGGGGTGATGTAGCTCTTTGTACCTGGGAGAAAGCAAGCAACAGTCTTCTGGATATGTTGGAGTTTGGAGAACAGATTTTGAGAAACAATAGAGATGAGAGTAAAAGCAGATGAGGCAAGAAGGATGAAGGCTTCAGGAGGGTGGACTCGAAGCAGTGGGTTTTTTGGGCAGTCAAGTGCAGAGGTGGTGATGGATACGTACAACAAGAGGAGATACAAAGCACAGAAAACAAGGCCAAGAGCAATGAAAAGATTACAGACAGTGGAGGTGAATGGCATTGATGAGTCATGAAGTAGGGATGAGAGAGTGGGCATTAGGCTTGAATTGCTTGTGTTCCTTGAGAGAAGAATCTCTTTGTTCTTTAATGCCCTCAACTGAAGGAAGTAGGGTCTACACCTGATTTTTTTCCTGCAGGACCTGATTTTTCCATTGCCCTGCACCTTGTATTGTCATTTATAACTGTGCAGAGTGGCTACAAAACACTATCAAAGCAAAGCCAGAGCATTTTACACTCACTTTGTCCAGTGGGTCTGTGAAAGACTAAACTGAAAACAGAATTCAACTGTATATACAGACAGTAGATTTCCAAAGGGGACCGTACCTCCATTCAAAATGTCCAAATGGGCCTACATCTGCATGTGATTGTTTTGTAGGGGTTCACAAATGAAAGAAGTTTGAGAACCACTGTCTTAGTCCACACTAGCTTAGGTGTCCATTTTAATGCCTACTAACTGGCTTGTGCGGATCCTATTGATGTGCAATAAAAGTTCCCCAGTGCACATGAATGTAGTCCCATTTCAAACTGTAATATGTTACCATGAACGAGGGAAATTTTAGTGCATGCCAGCTATGTCAAGTTAGTGTGCAACATGCTGGTGCACAGTAAAGTTCACATGCTAGCTAGGGTGGACTAGGGCCCCATGTAGACAATCCCTAAGGGTATGTCTACACTACCCTCCTAGTTCGAACTAGGAGGGTAATGTAGGCATACCGCACTTGCTAATGAAGCCCGGGATTTGAATTTCCCGGGCTTCATTAGCAAGTGCGGTATGCCTACATTCCCCCGCTAGTTCGAACTAGCGGGGGAATGTAGGCATACCGCACTTGCTAATGAAGCCCGGGATTTGAATTTCCCGGGCTTCATTAGCAAGTGCGGTATGCCTACATTCCCCCGCTAGTTCGAACTAGCGGGGTAGTGTAGACATACCCTAAGTGACTACATGAGGCAGGGGAAATTGAGGCTTGTGATCTTATTTATTTGTTTAATCTATGAGCTTTGGTTTATTAGTTCAGGTCTGCAAGATTTTTGGGTCTCCCTGGTATAGAATTAACTAAGCTTCCTGTCTGAATTATGCCCCTGCAATGTAAGTGCTTTTTAGTGACTTGAAACTTGTTGAATAAAAAATTACAATAACCCATTAAAGGGAGGACAAATTGTTTTGCCTCAGCCATTCTCTCTTCGTCATGCACTTAATATATTGATGTATGGCACATACTGTAGTCTGGGTTTCTTTTAATTCCATTTTGTGTTTGACAGGAAAGAGCAAGAGGTTGATTCCAAAGATGCTATTATACTGCATCAATTTTCAAGACCTAACAATGGTGTGCCCAGTTTATCTCCTTTTTGTTTGAAAATGGAAACTTATTTAAGGATGGCTGATTTACCCTATCAGGTAAACTTGAGTGTACTGTTTCCTTTTATATTATGGTTAACTATAGTCATACATAATGCTAAATATGCAGGGGAAAATATCTATCTTATCCAAGAGAAGTATAGATATAGTTACCACTATGGTGAAGTTTGGGTCTATGATGTTCAAGGTAGGCCTACCATCGGTGGTTGGTCTAAACATTTGTGTTCTATTCCAGAGGTCATTCCTTCATGTCAATTGAAAATTTAATTTGCAGGGAAACGTTGAACTTTTGGAGTGGTTTCGGTTCATACAATACTGGTATGCGCCCCCTGCTCCCCCTCCCCCATGCTTTATGGAATTGACTTAAGGACACAAATATGCATAACTCAAAGATGCTTTGGACAAAATACCTCATGTAACCTATCAATTTTAATGTCTTAGTCTGCTGGATCTGTGTTTCTTATTTTGATGCATATATCACTCTTATTTGTAGAATTAGGAATGTGGAATATGGAATGGCTTATGGTTTTAAATGTGCAAATTGAAAGCCAGCAAGGGTGTTTCCCTCAATGGCTATGTCTAGACTACAGGGTTTTTCCAAAAAAGTGGCCTTTTTTCAAAAAAACTTCACCTGCGTCTAGACTGTCATCACATTCTTTTGAAATTAAATCAAAAGAACGCGATGGTTTTTTTGACAGTGGTAAACCTCATTTTATGAGGAAGAACGCTTTTTTTTTTCAAAAAAGCTCTTTCAAAAAAAGGCATTCTTGAATGCAAACAGCATGTTCAAGGACCATATTGCCTGGGTGCTTTCTTTCAAAAAAGCTGATTGCTTTTCCGAAGGTGTTCTGGCTGTCTAGATGATCTCTTTCAAAAGAGGCTTGTAGTCTAGATGTACCCAGTGTCTGGATGATCACGTGTAAACAGCCTCTTTTGTTCTTTAAGTCTTAGTAGTGGTTGGTTTTAGGAAGTTATGTGACCTCTCCCTAATTGGTAGGGACTGACCAGGTAATTTTCCATAGAAGGGAAGAATGTGAAACAGAGATTTCCCTCCTGAAAGGGAAGCTGTTTAAGATGAAAAGTTTTTCAGTTCTTTGTCTTTGTCTGGCATGGTACACCCAGGAAGAAATCCAAACACCCCAGGGAAAAGGGACTTTTCTGGTTTGGAGGTTTAGCTGGAATAAGAACAGTTTTAGGATGAGTTTGTAATAAGCTTGTGTGTATGTTAGAACTAGCTATGCATTTTTTGTTATTTTAAATTTGTAATTCACTTTGCTCAGCCTGTTCTCACTTGCAACCACTTAAATCCCACTGCTTGTACTTAATAAAATCACTTTTACTTACTATCAAGCCCAGTGTAAATAATTGTTACCTGGGGGAGCAATTGGTATGTACATTTCCCCCTTTCATTGTTAAAGGGGGCTTGCTTAAATAATTTATTTGGGGTTCTGATCCCATTTGGGGAGTGGTATCTTGGGAAGCTGGGCCCCAAACTTTATTTTGTTTGGACCTGAAGAGTTTCAGTGTCTATATTGCTCCTTGGGGGATGGGGACGGGGACAGTGATCTCAGCTCTGTGCCTTGGCTGGGGGAGACCAGGTGAGCTGGCCCAGCAGGACAGGGTGGTGAGAAGCCCCAGAGCAAGGAGGCAAGTGTCAGGGGCCCTGTCAGCATTTCAGGAAGCACCTCAAAGGAGTCTTCTGTGACCACACCCATCACAAATACTACATCATGTGCTGTGTTTGCTCTAAAATTCACTGTTGTTTAGTACGATTTATCCTACCAAGTCTGCTATGTTAAATAGGTCAAAATTAAATTGCTGCATTTTTTCTTTCCTTTGAGGATGTCTCTTCTACCCTCTCCCTATGCAGGGCTGGCCCGAGCCCCTTTGGTGTTCCGGGTCCGACCACACCCATCACAAATACTACATCATGTGCTGTGTTTGCTCTAAAATTCACTGTTGTTTAGTACGATTTATCCTACCAAGTCTGCTATGTTAAATAGGTCAAAATTAAATTGCTGCATTTTTTCTTTCCTTTGAGGATGTCTCTTCTACCCTCTCCCTATGCAGGGCTGGCCCGAGCCCCTTTGGTGTTCCGGGTCCGGGCGCGTGGTGCCGCCCACGGGCGCACGGTGCGCCCCCGGGCGCACGGTGCATGCATGGGCCC